GCTATTACTTTCATACTAAAATGAATAGTAACTTGCCAGGAATGAATACACTGTAGTGAAAACAATCTGAAAATAGTCTTCAGATCGTGTGTAAGGGTGTAATTCCCATCAGTTCTACAGCTTCGTGAATACTTTCAAAGTGAATGGTCTCTTGCACGAACATTCTAATTAACAGTTAAAAGGAAACTGACTGAATGCAGAAAACTGAAAGACTTGAATCTCAACATTTCTTCTTCTAGAACTGGCATCTCCCTTAAGGACTTGGAGGTCCTGTTGATATTGATGCTACATAAAAACTAATTTGCGTAAACTAGCTACACTTTTGCTGTTGTCTTTGGAATCTCACAGTAATTTTGCACTAAACGAAGGAATAATATCTAAGCACCATTTGAATAAGGAACTGTGGTCAGCAAGTCAGCAGCAAACATAGATAGCTAAATCCAAATTCAGACTGAAGGAACTTCCCAGCCAATGTTACTCCATGATGCTATAGTGGTTTAGTTAGCTGTGTTGGCCAACAACACAGCCCCACAAGACTACAGTAAAACATTTTCTGACTTGAGTAATTAAAATAGTTAGATAAATGAGTAAAGTCCAATTATCAATTTCTAGTTCATTTTTCTGAATAGACATTAATAAAAAATGGGAACGTCATGAGGGAAAAAAAAGAAGAAGAAGAAAATTCTGCAGATTGGAATTGTATATTTCAAAGAATTACTCAAACTAACTTTGGGGTAGAATACATTCTTATAGCTAATAGAAAAAGAAAAATTTATATTTACTTCCTGATTCATATCATGGAAAATTTTCTTTTATTGTCTGGAATTCTTTGGTTCTGTATGTTGCCTTATAAAAACGCATCATATTCAAATGATCAAAATAATTTGTAATAAGCTTGTAAAACTGCTTCAAAATTATATAGAATAACCCAGGAAGGCTTAGGACTATTCTTCTGGAACTGTACTTACCATCAATGATATACATTTTCAAAGCTTATTTTGTATAATTAATATACACAAGTTTTATGAGTCGGCATATGAGGTATGGCAATAATTCCCTATATCTAGAAAGGCAAAATAATTGTTCTTTCATACTTTTATAAGTTATAGCCTTACGCACATTGACTTTTAACAGCTACTACATAATAACTGCATTTTACAATGTAAGTATTCACTATAAAATGGTATATATTGACCACAGTACAGCATCAAAAATATAGCTGCAGTTGGTTTTGGTTTTAATAGACAATGCCAATTTTAATTGGAATAAAAAGTTATTGAAAACTACAGCCTTCTTAAGACAAAAATCACTTCATTATTACTATGGTCAGTAAGGCTGGCAAGGGCCTTTCAAGGTAAATGCTTAAATTAAATTAACTGGGAAAAAAATAAACTTGGACATTTTGCATTTGCAGTGGTGATTTCTGCTTTTGCTCAGTATGTGGATTGATTAATTTGTGACTGCTGACTGGTTCTTAAACCTCCTCCCATGACTTTGATATCCTTTGCATTCAAGATCCTTCTGCTTCCCCAGAACTGGCGCTCAAAGTAGCTACAGGGAAGTTATGCTAGAGCCTTTTCAGACCTTCTCACTTTTGAGGAGGCAAAGCAACTGCCATGTGGTTAAAAGAAGATTCTGTATAGTTAAATTGACTGTTCTACACCTTTAGAGACAAGAAAAGGCATTCATGCATTGAGGTTTTGTTCTGTTTGAATGTTGTTTTTATTTTTCTTGAAAAGCGAATTCTTTGAGAGGAATCATCCAACCTTTTACTTGTTTAAAGTTAAAGGCAGATCTTAGATGTGAAAGCTGAGCATATGCTAACTTTGACAAGAAGAAAAATACAGATCAGTCAGCAATCAATAGAAGAGTCCGGCTTTCTGCATCTGAATCCTGTGAGGCACCACTGCCAGACAGAACTGCCTAGTTTGCTTCTAAAACACATCCTTCCCTGTGTTCCTCTGTTCTTTGAAGTAAATTTCTTTCTCCTGCCTTTACTGCTGTCACTACTAAATTATACATGCCCTTGTGTTCTAAAAATTCTGCATCAGCCACAGTAATTGAGCACCACTTTCTTCAGTTTCTTGCCGCTCTATGGAGGCTGAAGCTTTCAAAAAAATTCTGTCTCCCCTCCACTGTGTTTTATCCAAAGAGAAGGAACAACCTCTACCCTGTGTGCAGGAATCAACTAGTTCCAGTGCTACAATATTAGCCTTTGTACAACTTTTGTAACAGAAAGATTTTCCATAGCCCAAGATCAGACTTGGGAAAAATCAATCCAATTAATCAAAACTTAATTAAACTATAAAACTAGAGATATATCCTGAATTGTTTGAATTTTCTGGGATATCTGGCTTCTCTATGCAGCTCTAAGGGTCTATATTAGCTGATATTTTTAATAATGTGAAACTGAAAAAAAGTAAATAGAGTAGTGAACTGGGAAGAAAGAGCCACAACGACTTACATAGCATCTCATGGCAACCAACCCAAGTCCATGGTAAATTCAGTGATATTTCACCTTAATGCAACTGCAATAAAAAATGCCACAGCCTTGGAAGCAGAGAAGTTATATTTTTCTGCAGTTTGGATCATAAAAGTTGGAGAAATACAATTTCTGTTTGACTATAATCATGCAATAATGGGGAAAAAAAAGAAGATGAGGGAAATATGTTTCCCTTTCTGCAGGAGGATAATAAATTTAATCTTATGTTGAAATAACTGGAATATTTTTTAGTAGCTCTAGAAAGGATTTCTGTGGTTTTGTGCTCAAAGTTAGGCAAGTAAATTTAAAGACATCTCACAATATAAGTTAGAAGTAAATTACTGAAAACTGTGCAAAGAGAATTTCTTTGAAAAGAGGAGGTGAAATGAGTAGCGTCAATATCTGTCACTGAGGACACAGAAAGCCACATTGTTTCAAAAACTTAGCAGGGCAGATTTTAAGCAGATCCAAATTCCACAAAAGCCAGTCAGAGTTCTTGCATTGCTCAAAGTAGGCTCTATATGAAGTCCAAACTGAGGGAGAAAATGTACTCCCTCATCAGCACGAAACGCTCTAACTTTGGGGACAGTGTTGTTTTGGATGTACAGGTTACATGGTATTCGTGTTCATGATACTGGAAAAATGGACGCAACCTTTTTCAAAATACCACCCTAGTCTAGCTGGGTAAAATGTCCTTTTCTCTGATGACTTCCTGAAGGAAAAGAGAAGTATGTCTTTCTTTGCTTGCAAACTGTCAGTCATGCTGCAGTGAGCACAGACATCATGAATCACTCCTCTCTGAGCTCTAATCTCTGTTCACAGTGACAAATGAACCTTGAAAATCAATCCAGTTCTGACTCCTGAAATCTCTTGGAATTTATTCTTTAGGAAAAAAAATAAAAGAAAAGAAATATATTGCATGGTTAAGGTAAAATTGTGAGTATATTTTAATGAAATTTTGTAGAGCCAGTATCTAGAATGTTCTCACAATCCTGTAACAAACATGTAAGCTAATTCTAAACTATTAGAATCATGGTTTAGATTACCACTCTAGGCTTATAGTGTTTTTTTAGGCAGCTACATGACCTGAAAAAATATAGTATGTATCTATTCTGCATGTTAACACAAAATGCATTCACTAAAAATAGTAAAGGAACTGCAGTCAATGACTTGTCATTCTCCCAAAAGGGCTGCTATCTTACTACATTCATATTATTGGTTTTTATAATGTATTAAACAAAAACATTAGCTATCTTTTTTTTTTCATCTTGATTATCCTACTTTTCTTGCCTAACAGGGTTCTTATTTCACCCCTGCTTTTTCAGGCAACAACCAGCTATTTCACAAATCCTTGGTCTGAAGCCTTTCTCCAAAGAGTAATGGGAGGCCTGACAGGAAAAAGCTATTTTCCAGCTTATGCCAGATGTAAACACTTGAGAGAAATTAATATTCCATACTCTAGCTTAAAAAATCTCCTCGTGAAAAATTCAACTGATGATTTATACAGTAACACTTGAAAATATTGTAATAGAAGAAAACTAGCACTAATTAACCTGCGGATTTGCTACTCTTGTAATTGTTTTGGTAGGGGATATAAATGTGCTTTAAAATGAAAATAATTAAACAACTAAAATGGCAGAACTCTTGTGAACAGCTATATTGGAAGAAAAGCATCGCTAAAAATGTACTCCTCTTGCTGCCCTTGATAGCAATTTAACTGGATGCTTAGCAGATTGGTTACACAACTCTTGGACTGCAGTCACAGTTGTACAACTTGTATAGGCAAAGAAGGCGTTGAGAAAATAATGTGTTTTTACTTTGTTCTCCTCCAAGCTTTGCTGGTGGAATTTGTTTATTTTATAGCAAGTTGACTTTATTTCTTTTATCCTGTGGTCTTTTACATAACTAATAAGAAAGAAAAAATAGTTCATAAATAAGATTAAGTTTGTGGAAAAGCATCAATTTTCAAACAGTAGTACTACTTGATATGTCTAATACCCAAAACTGCTTTTATATTCTTCCTTAATTTGACAAGACTTTGATTTTATAATACTTTTTCAAATAAACAAAGTAAATAACTAGTGAAATCTAGCAGATACAATAAGTACATGGGTGGGATTTATTTTTACGAAAGGTAATAGCAGCATTCATAAAGTGGGAGAGATGCATGAGAAGAAAAACACAAACCTTGTAATTACAAGGCTCAATACTGGCAACACTGCCAAAAATCCTGCAACCTGTTAATCAGCCTGCAAGATAGCTCTAGTTAGGCCAAAGGGAAGAAAATAGTAGGGAAAAATGGTGCTACACTGTACTTGCATTTTGAGCACAGGGCTTAAAATCCAAGAAATTGTAACTTTAACCTTCTTTAAGAAAGCCCTTCAGAAAATTACAGGAAAACTTAACTATCCAGCAGAATAAATGATATGGTTGTGCAATTGCAAGGAGATTGATATAGCATTACTTAAGACACTGCAAGGAGATGTGTCAGCACAAATATGAGAGCCATAAGTAATAAAAGCCTTTAATAATAATACACACACTCTCCCTGTCATCATTATCCTCCATCACTTATGGGTGGACAGCACCCGCATTCCTGCTGAATCCTCTGGCGTGTGTCCATTAGGCGCATTTACTGTCAAGTAAGTATTCTCCAGTGCAGTAGATGTGATCCTTTCGCTGCTACTAGAGAAACCTATGGAAAAGATCCAAAGCTAATGGAGGTTTCGGAAACTGGCTGCAAAGATTACTATGTGTTTTAAATTTTTTTCTCTACATTCATTTCAAAATTTCATTTCATATCAGAAGACAGTGTCAATCAGAGCAGAGCTGAAGCCCATAATCACAGTGCAGATTCACAGTGTATGGTACAGGGTGCGCTTGGAAGACATATGGGGGTGCAGGAGGCTTGTCAGAAGTTTTGGCTTAAACTGAGGTGCATAATCTCCCCTAGAATCAATACAGAGCAAGCAGTAATTAAGCTTCTCATTCAGTGCTCTAACATCCACTCCGAAAACACCCAGCTTTAAATGTTGAGAAGTACTTTTCACTTTCCAATGACTTGAAAGGGAGTGAAAGTGACAAAATAGCGTATGTGAATCACCAGCCTTTCCCCCAAATGTATGGCAGATCTGCAAAAGGCCTTTAAGTACATCCACAGAAACATGATGCAAAGAGGAGACATTATAGAACAAAACTGGCATTGTTTACCACTGCTGAAGGCTTTGGAAAATGAATAATCCACAGAGTATAAATGCTGTGTTGGGACTGCTACCATCATGCATCAGAATACTGGCCAAAATGCACACAAGCACACAATACACGCACATTCAATTTTGAAATTCAGGCCTAAAGTGACTCTCAACACAATCCAGGTTGATTGACATACTGTCTGAAAGCTATTGACAGAATGATCACAAAAGCAGATTAATTTTCATACAAATAAAAGAAGTTACCCTAAAATAGAAGAAATAGACAACCTTGTCATTCCAAGCAAGATGTGGAGGTCTGCATTTCTGAAAGGACTTTATCAGCATGAGAATTCTTTGGTGCATTATCCTTCCACTCTCAATAACACTCTATGATTAATGATATAAAGTAACAATGTGCATTTTGTGATTCCTCCATCTAGGCTTGACTTGATATCAATTTTAAATGGAGAAACTGGGATATGACACCGTATGTAAAATAACCACTTTTTTTTCCACTTTCCAATTTACAAAGCTGTCTCCCTAACATTTGAATTTTGTTCTTATATTCTGTTGTGTTCACTGAAGAATCAGGAATCAATGCAGTGCATAGAGATTCATTATTTATTTATTTATTACAGACTCTGTTAATAAGACTTCTGGATTAATTCTGCCAAACCTTAAGACAGATAAAGTTAGATGCCTCGTCTCACCTCATTATCCGTCTTTCCTCCATGTCCAATGCAGCAGGAGAGACAAAGGAATACCTTTACACGCTGAGTTTTCTCACTTTCTACCATCTTGGGTGGCTTATGTCAGGCAAACTGAAGCCCATCTGCCTTGCAGTTGTCAGTGGAGTCAGTGAAATAAGTTCAGTCTGACAGCCATGCAGTTCCACAGAGTGCAGCTCTGCTGCTGAAACCCTGAGCATAGAAAAGGGATTTGGAGTAAATTTTTTGCTTACTTTGAACTTTTGCAGCTCCACATAACTTAGACTGAAGGGAAAGTTCTGGCCTACTCGGGAAAGTTAGGAAAACTTCAAAGATGGAGGAAGAAGGGAATTTAAAATGTATGATTTAAACTAAAATCTGAAAATATAGTTAATATAAGAAGCTATTTCTCAGATTTACAGCAGTAGACTGTAATCTTTACTTGGTTAAAGTACATGTAGTAAGTCTCAGTAAAAAAAAAAATAAAAAAATAAGAAGAAAAGAAAAACTTCTAATGTTTTTCTAAAGCCTTCCTATATAATTTTTTTCTTTCTTCCTTTCTTTCTTTTTTCTTTTTTTTTTTTTTTTTTTTTTTTTTTTTTTTTTTTTTTTTTTTTTTTTTTTTTTTTTTTTTTTTTTCCAAATTCCAGTATCGTGGTCTATTAAAAGAGCTCCATCTTCTGGCTACTGATTAAAAAAATCCAGGTCCTTCATAGAGGCAGCAGAAAGGTTCAAAATCATTTGCAGAATTTAATGAAAAATTGATCCTGAGTAACCGATGTCTGGAGCTGCATTCCACAGAGACTTTGTGGCATTTTTATTTTAGAGTAATTTGTTACTTGTTAACCTTGATTTCTAACCTTCTGTCAGGAATCTTAGTAGTTATTGAATTAAAATAAAAGGGCAACATATTAGAACAATCCCAAGGAAAGGAATTAAATGCATAAGCTGACAGTAACAAAATCATAGAAAGATAACTTGCTATCTCCCTTTGTGTCAGGTCAGACTCCTAGCTTTGATTCTTCTGTAAGTAAATAAATAAAAATTAAAAAGCACTGAGCATTTAGTTCCAGTTTTCATAATGGATAAAAAAAAATCAATGGAAAGAAACATGAGAAATACATTCCTCCATATGTTGCCCGCCTGCCTTAACAGGGACTCTATATTTGAAGATAGTTAATGGCAAAGAAGGAAGATGGCATCCTGCATTTTATCATTTTTAGGACACTTCTCATTCTTGATTTTATTACTAAAGGGTTTAGACTTGCTTTTTTTTTTTTCTAACCTTTTGTTAAGGACATTAGAGCAAAGTAAGCTGAACGCCAGACTTTTCTCTCATGTTCTGCCAGTGATGGTGCATCTACTTGATGTTACATCTGCTTGATATTACAGAATAAAAGAACACAGGAGAAAGCAACTTAGGGGATTCATTGCTCCTCTTCAGCATGCTTAGAATAGTAAAAACTTCAGTACATTAAAAAGTTTGAGGTTTGCAATACTGAAATTCTTCCCATGAATAATAACAGAAATAGACATTAAGATACCAATTTCCATTTTTGTGTTCAGCCCCATGTTAGAACAGATCACCTGAAAAGGGAGATATCTGGCTGCAAAATCAGTTGTCCAGAGATTTTTGAATCACTGATCCTATGTCATGGCTTGCAAAATAAAGGTTAAATATTTTAAATCTTGAAATACACCTAGCATATTCCCTTTTGAAGGAAAATGCAAACACAAGCAAAGAAACAGGAATGTAATTTTGCTTTATAGGCAGTCCATCATTAGCAATTAACCGTTCATTGTCTATACTGAGAAATAGTATGAAAAGATTGTTTAAGTGAAATAATTATTATTTGCCTTCTAGTAATATTAAAAAACAAATCAGACAGCGACTAAAGGTAAACGATATAACACACCATATTTTCTTGTTTCTATTTTACTTAAACTAATTTTCCATCTGAGGCTGTGCTTAAAATGCTTAACTTTACACTTAAAAAAATAGCCTTTTCTCATTGATACCTCTAAAAGCATATTTAGACATTAATTTCTCAAAGATAAACTGGTCATAAAAAAAAACTATGCTGGAATTCAAAGGAAGATTTTTAAAATCCAAGTAGCAAGCTCTTTCAGTAAGCACTGCAATTGAAATATCTCATTATTTCTGATTTCAGCATGGTTACACTTGTAGATGCATATACTGGTAATGAAGGTTTAAAGTAGGTTTGCCAAAACTGCATTAGATCTGCTAAAAAGTGCACTCATTGCTACTGCTGAGAAGTAATTGTCTTTACAATTGTAGTAAAAAGTCCATGCAAAGAACAGCATCTGAAGCCCCGTGCTCTTTCTGCAGATGTCTCATGACCAGACAGAGAGCACCCATGCAAAATAAGGTATGTTATTACTCAAGTGTGAAGGGAATGATCATAGCAAACTGCCTAAAAATACAGTCTCTTTTGAATTATCAAGCATATACTTGTCATTATTATAATCCATAGAGTTTTTGTGACTGTATAAGATATAATATTCATGAAAAGCTCTGTGAAGTCTGAAGGAGATCTCATCATCCTGAGTTTACTTAGAAAATTTGAGAAATCAGAAGTAATGAAATTCTGACCTCTATTTTGTTTGGGATTGCAGCTGCCTTCAGAAATCCCCATTTATTCTTATCACTTATTTCTATCTGGATCTTTGCTTAAGCCCATTTCCAGAAACACCAGGTCTACTGCATAGTAAAAAGAAATAGAAAACACTATTAAAGTTGCAATGTATTCATTGCAGAATTTTCTATTATCTAGTTATCAGTTCTTTTCACAAGTTGTATTGAAAAAAATTATTCTCTTTTCATCCAGTAATAAACTTGAAAAAAGTTTGTTGAATGAAGGGAAGGATATTCACATTTTTCTATGCTTTTGAAGTCTTTCAGACAAGTATGTTTAAAGAAAAGTGATATTATATAGGGGTACTTCTGATAGATATTGGATGCTTTCATCTCCAAAATAAATTTGTTTTTGTTTCCTGAAGTTATGAAGGTCTGAAAACTGAATATCAGTTAAGTACATAATCATCTGGACAATATCAACGTAATGAAGAAAAGACATATTGTTCTAATAAAACCTTCACCCGAGAGTGTATAAGGCATGCAAGAAAGATCACCTTTAGGAAATCTAGATACCATTCTTGTCTCTGTTGTGTGATCACAGCACTGTATCTCATTTTCCCTACTTTAGTTTCTTCCCCTGACAAATGGTGATAACAACCTTCTCTCTCTGGAGAAAGGTCTGCTTAAACAACATGCCAGAACATATCACTACTTCAGTGGAAAAGCAATACTGCAGGAACCATATCAAAGATGTCAGCGTGGGTCCATAACTACGTGGCAGACCCTTTGAAATCTGCTCACAATTTCTTACTTGAAGTTCATCTTCAGAGGGGTCTGTCTGCTGTCTTCTAGCCTGTTTACACTGACCTCGACATAGAAATTCTCTCTTGCCCTTTCAGTCATTCTACTATGGAGACACCTAGGCCTAGAGTGGGCTGCTCTAAATTAATAGTAATTTAAAGAATGGATCACAATAAATAAACCTACATGAAACTTCAATCATGTGTTTATACAGTCAGAACAGTGAGGTAATTCAGTATACAAGTAGCTAAAAATCAGGAAAGATGACATCTTATGGCATACCTAAAAAATGCTATGTGCATTTTTCACTCTACCTCACCATCCACTCATCTATCCTCTACATAATAAGTTTCGTAACAAGGACATTGTGGGAAATGGTGTCAAAGACCATGCTGATGTCAAGGCAGACAGTATCCACAACTCTCCAACCATCTACCCAGCCAGTGATGACATCATAGAAGGCTACTAGGTTGGTCAAGCATGATTTCCCCTTTATGAATCCATACTGATTACTCCTGACAACATTCTTTTCTTCCTACTGTTTGGAGAGGGTATCTAAAACAAGTTATTCCATCACCTTTCCAGGGATGGAGACGAGGCTGACTGGCTTGTAGTTTCCTGGATCCTCTTTCTTGTTCTTTTTGAAGTTTAGAGTGAGATTGGCTATCCTCCAATCTTCAAGCGCCTCTCCCATTTGCCAAGACCTTTCAAAAATGATAGCAGTTTTACATTTCTTTTCTGAGGTTTTGTATTGTCATGTTCCACCTTCTTTGCCAAGGTGCTGCGAAGACGATATTTAGAGATATCAGTATTCAGGAAGAAGCTGGAAGGGGACAGGAATATGGTAAAAAGAATGAAAAAACTGTAAAGGGAAAAATCCTTGGAGCAAATAGGCAAATAGAATCTTCTCACATAAATCAGACAATGTGTAAAACCTGCAGTAGGAAAATCATCCAAGCCAAAAAAACTTTGTCCTGCATAGTCCTCAAAGATCACTACCAAGCCTAGAATCATATGCAATCCTGCATACTTCAGAAACAACATAACAGGGCCACCTACTGAGATTCAGCATCTCTTCTCCATAATATTTGTTTCCTCTGTAATACTGAAGAAGCATAATAAAAACAAATTAATCATAGACACTCCAGGGACTTATTTCAGAGTGTATCAAGCAATTATATATTGAAGGTGATGAAATAATAGTATCTTTGATATAACTATCAACTTAGGATATGAAAAAAAAAAAACACCAGGAAATAACAAAGAGAAGAAAATTAGGATGAAAAATAATAAAAGTAATTATAAATTAACAGCCAAGAGCATTACAAGAGCAACTACATTGCTCTAATGTTCCTTCCTTTGCCCTCTGAAGAGATTGTTTGAAAAACAACTGACAAAGATCAGTTGAAAAGGAAGAATGAAGGGGAGAAGTTTATTATTTTCAATAAGCAGAGAAGACTTACAGAGGACTAACCCTATTATTCATGTATAATATAATTTAATTCAATTTAGCTGTTTTTTCCTATCTTACAAAAAGAGGAGCTATATACTGATAATAAATTGATTAAAAATGCACAGATGCTGCAAATAAAAAGCTGCATATCTGAACAAAATAAACATAAGGCTGATGCCAAGAGAAAATATTAATATGTCAGTAGATGTGTAACTGTAAGTGGCCACAAGTTTGGCAAGGAGGCAAAACATGTTCACATAGAGGAGTTTTGTGCTAGAAAATAAAGAAACTAAACTGAAGAAGATAAATTACATCCATCAACAAGCTGGCAATCTGTAGCATCATCTTGCACTCTCTGGCTAGCAGGAACTCAGGGCCAGCCCACCAATTTGTTCTATTTTTGACAGTGGCATATAAGAAATTAGGTTATAGTCAGTAAATAATTAACTCAAGAAATACACTTATTAGAGGTACAATCAGAAAATGAAGTGCTGGTGATTTCTTGCAGAGGGATAACTCTACCTTTGATCTCTAAATTGTGATCAGCAGAAGACAGATCTGAAGCCGTCTTGCAGAGCCTTGACAGACCTTTTTCATTTTAAATACCAATTCAAGGAAAAAGATACTACTTATTTATAATGGCATAATTGCCTCCTACCAATGTTTGTACACAGGAGGTATAGCAAAGAACAGTGTCCACCTATTGACCTCAGCTATGGTGAAAGATTTCAAGCCCATGGGGTGCTGCTTTTAAAATCTAGACATTGTTCAATGGGAACATAGCTGTTACCCTCACCTCACAGACCTTAGAGATCATGGCGTGAGAAGCAACTTGGTAATCAGTTCTTGGTGCTGAGACAAGACTTTTTCAGGAAAAGCAAAATATAATTACAGGCACCCTAAGCATCTCTTAAATATGAATGTCCTTACTCTACTGCTGACAGAAAGTTACGCCTAAAAACATGCAGACATTTTCTACTCTGTGATAATCCAATCTATTTTAACTCATAAAGCGCTACTCATTCCAACAATATGGGACTGGGTTTTTTTGCACCAATTACATCCATACTTACCCCTCAAAGCTGCAGAAGATTAACAGAATTAAAAAAAAAAAAAAAAAAAAGTTCAAAATGGGAACAACCATGACCACCCACAGTAAATTACTGAGACCCAGTTACATGGAAGCATTCATATAAGTTTCTAGGGAAAATAAATAATGACATGGATCCCCACATGGTACTCTAACCTTGCATGTAATATTAGAGCTCTGGAACATTGTGAAATGTTGGGTAATTCCTTAGAAGAGCCTTGTTTTCTCCAATAATCACCTAGGAAATTAGAGCTGGCTTTACCAAGACTGCCAAAAGGAAACCTCTGGATCTTTTTAAAGATCAATTCAATTAAAGATTAGAAATCAAAGATTCAATTAAAGATTAGAAATCAAAGTTTTTCTTTTACGTGTGATCAGTGATATACTGTATATGAGCTAATTTAGATAAAAGCAAAAAAGAGTTAACTTCCAATACTGTTTTATTATCAAGGCTATGCAGCAGACAGTAAAAAAGGACTTACTTCCTCTACTTGCTCAGTTTCCATGCTAAACTCCTTTGTACTCTGTTTAAGAAGAAGCTACAGAATTTGAGTCAAATGAGGAGACCAACATGTAGCACTAATCCCTATGTTAGCTGAGTACCACAAAGGTAATTAGAAGCCCAATTACCAACACTCTGTGCCAGAAGAGAATGTCCAGTTGATTTGTCTGCAAGTGAAATCAAAACCGAACATGTATATTGATTTTATAACACATTTTGCAGCTCCCTCAGACACAAGAAAAAATAAATGTCTGATAAGTATAACATGCTCATGGCATATATTTGAGCTAAGTCAGGTTAGTGATTGAATTTGTTGGAAAAAGATCCATTAAAAAATATATTAACAACTGAAGTTGTTAATCCCACAGTGAAACTACTGCAGCTGGCATATTTCCTTGTAGTATTAAGGCCAAAATTATAATAAAACTTTACTGTCATATTAACTTTAAATGTAGGGAATCATACACAATTTTTTCTTCACCACTAAGCTTTTGACTAGAATAATCAATTTAAGGTAACACAGCTTTTTGTAGTGCCTGATAAGAAAAATGTGTCATGGTTATTGTAAGTCAAATAATGGACCACTATTCTCATCTGTATATTAGCCTATGTTAACTTTATATAAAGTTCTTATTAGCTTTGTGAGTTAAGAGTAAGCTTTGATCTGCTGACTTCATAATGGTTACTTTGGTTTTTTATTTTTTATTTTTTCCTCCTTAAATTACCACTGCATCATTGAGAAGGCTATTTTACAACAATACCCTTCTGATAAATCAGCACATGATGAGCAACCATTTGTCAGATAAACCATTTCAGTACAAAGAAGATGCTGAAAGAAAATGCAGTAAATGTAGTGAAAGTGTTTGTCATTTACTTAGCTGGGTGTAGAAAACAAATTTGATGGCCTTCCTTTTCACCATTATATCCTTATTACCTGTTCTAGTGTTCTAGTGTTTCTTTTTCTTTTTTTTAATTCTATTTTGAATGAAGATACTCTTGGAAATAATCATACAAAAATCATTTACTCTGGCTTTTGTGCATTATGTGTTTGCAAACTTGTTTCAGAACTTTCCAGCATTCCCAGAGCCTCCTCTTTGAGTTTGCAAGCAACAGTCAAGCCTTGAGATGTAGTAAAAGAGAGATTGAAATACTCAAAGATGTTCTCCATCTATAAAAAGAAGATAAGGCAATCTGTCCCAGTGAAGACAGTGCAATCTACCTGCCATATAAACTACAGAAACAAGACTTAGACTCTGGGATAAGCAAACTCTAGCATTCTTCTGATGAAATATTAGTTTCCAGTTCTAGCTCTGAAAAGAAGCTATTCAAGGCATGTTTTAATCAAGTGCATTTTTGACTCTTTGCTGCACTGGCCTCCCTAATGGTATGAAGTATCTTCAGAAGCTCTGGGTTAGTTGCTTCCTAGCACTACGTGTAGTGTTCCCCTTTGTAGCACCTCTTATCCTTCTAGGATCCACAGGCTGCTGCCTTCTGCCACCAGCCCATTTGAGTGTGAATCTGGTTTCTGATTTTCTACGTTTGTAATACATGCAAATGTAACAGGATTAAGTTCTGGCCCTAAAGTATTTTCTATGGTCTTCTCATCCACAAGTGCACAAATAAACAGCATAGAGACTTCCCTTCCACGTGTCTCTGAAGTCTTCTTCCTATATGATTCATCAATATTCCAGTCTGTTCACATCTAATGTATTCATCCAGCCATTGTTGAACTTCTCTTCATATAAAATGCTGCCAATCTTCATTCAGTGGTGAACCAAATCTTGCACTGATCTTCCGTCCATTTAAAGTACCTATTTAGGACACTAATCACATTTGTTGGTCTCAGTAGTTTTTAGGCAACTTGTATTCTAAACCCTTCTGCTAACTGTGCTGTTTGATATTGCATGCTTATCAGATTGTATGATGACCCTTCAAAATGTAACAAGTTAAATAGGGTCATATTAAATGACAAAACTCTAGAAAGGCTGAGTATTGGAGAAATACTGCTTGTATTTAGTGAATGTTATTTATTGCTAAAATTTATTGCTAAACAACCAAGCTTTTGAGATAAAAAAGAAGCCAGAATAGGGAAGGGATTATAGTGATGCTTGAACAGGTTGCTCAAAGAGGTTGTGGATGCCCCATCCCTGGAGGTGTTCAAGGCCAGGTTGGATGGGGCCCTGGGCAGCCTGGTCTAGTATTAAATGGTGAGATTCATGATCCTTGGTACTTTCCAACCCGGGACATTCTGTGATTCTGTGATTCTGTGATTTGTAGTTAGTTGGAAGCTACTGGTGCTTCCAGTCTGTCTACCTACACTTTTCAAACACGGATGCCTTTATTCATTTCATAGTAGTCTGATTTCCATTTTCATACTG